AGGCATTTGCATAATTTCAGAATTATAATTGCAGCTGTGTACAAACAAAAACTTTTTAAGAGATAATCAACTGCTGAATTGTATAGTGCTCTTTTTATATATCAATCCAGATACTTGTATGTGGCACTTTTTTTTTAAATGTGTTCCTTCCCACATTGTGACAGAAGCCTGATATTGGTGTTTACATATGTGAGGTAAGTACAAAAATATGGGTTCATAAAAGGGCAGATAATGCAGTTCAGAATTACTGGGGTTTCAGCCTTTGTCCATCATCTGGTATTCTAAAAACTAGAAAACACAATGTTTTTGGAACTGGATCTGTTTTCATCCTCAGGTGGGGGAGGAGACACCTACTCTGTTGGGTCCCTTAGAAAGAACTAACCTCAATCACTGGACAACCCCTGTCAAAGTCAAACTCAAAGTCAGAGTTACTTTATGACTAGAGGTTTGCCACCAATCAGTACATCTTGGTGTCAAGCCCCTTAAGACTGATGACCAGAGAGTTTTTTTTTTCTTCAACTGAACCCTTGTGCTGATAGTCCTTATGTAACATCCTCCCTGTTGAGAAGATGTGTTTGTCTCTTATGAATATGCTTGGCCTTTTGTCAAGTGTATGTCTCGCACTTATAGCATGTTATTGAAAATTCTTCCTTTTGCACTGTATACAAGTCATCTGTCAGTACAGGCTTCGTGAAGCAGATCATGCTTGCTTTAAGTATCTTATGCTACAACGGCAGCTTAGCCACTTGAATGGTTGTAAGCTTGACCACTGCCAAGTTTAAGCCTCTTGTATTTTCTTTGTCTGGCTTTGCTTTGTCCTCAACCACAAACATGTTCATTCTCATGATTTTGTATGACTTCTGCTTGTCGCCTACACAATTTTGTTATATAATCACATACATGGAGAAGGTTGAAAGCCATGTGTAAATTGCAGGCCAGTGTGCACCTCAGAAAATTTCCATTGTTGCAGAGAACCGTGTTTTGTAGGTGCTGCAATTTTAAGAGGTGGGTGCCTGCTGCCAATTCTAAGGTGGGGCAAGCATAAGTCAGTACTGATCTGCTCAGTGCCTTATGGAAGGTTAGTTAGTGCTTAAATGTTCATTTTTGAATAAGGAGTGGATTCTAATAAATGTTCTGAAGGCCTTGGATTTAATCATTTCTATGTGCAGTCTCCATGTATTCCTCTTATCTAAGGTTACACCCAGATATTTTACATGATTGATGAAGGGGATATTCCATTCAGTGTAAAATGAGCCTCAGGGTACCTAGGTTGACAACCTCTGTCAGAGTCATAGTTCACTTTACAACTGGCGGTTTACTGCCAATCAGTTCTTGATGACAAGCCCCTCAAAACTCATGACCAGCAATTTTTTTTTTCGAGTGAATACTTGGTTTCATAGTCCTTATGTAACATCCTCCCTGACCAGAGAATGGGTTTGTAGTTTGCAATTGCCATTAGCCCTCACCAGCACAGACACTGTCAGGTCCAATGCCTGCCAGGCTTATGACCACATTTTACTGTCTCAGATTCAAGAGTCTCCCAACCTAGAGGACCAGGTCGCTGTATTTATATCCCCCAGAAACAGGGTTCCCTATACAACTCACAGGGCTACAGTGGCGGTATTCAACCCTGCCTCCATATGTGAGGATAACCCCTATCAGCTTCAATACAGCTATTTAATTACCTGTGGTCAGGCTAATTTTGGGGGAGATAAAAGGAAATTATGCGATAAAGAATATGATAGAACGCTCACATTCGTGGAACTAGGATAGAAAGGGAGTAGAAATTTATGTTACAAACCTAGCTGACAAAAGCAGGTACATGAATACCAATGCATAGGAAAATGGATAAGTTGTGAAGACGTGGTGCCTACCACTAGTGCCACCTGTGGAGTAAAACCTGAACACTCAAGGCTGGAACATTATAGAAACCCATGAAGAATCTGTCACATCATACAGATCTTTTCCATGAGTTGAAAAAGGAGAGGAGACACCTACTCTGTTGGGTCCCTTAGAAAGAGCTAACTTCCATCACTGGACAACTGCTGTCATCAGATTCACTGCAGCTACTTAGTTACTTGAGATCAGGCTAATTCGGAGGGAGATAACAGGAAAGTATGCAATGAAAATTGTGATAAAGCACGCACATTCGTGGAACTAGGATAGAAATTTATGCTGCAAACCTAGCCAACAAAACCAAATGCATGAGTACCTGAGGATAGAAACGGATCTAGTTTCTGAAACGTTGTGTTTTCTACTTTTTAGAATACCAGACAATGGACAAAGTGTGAAAACCCAGTAATTTTGAGTATTGTACCCCATGGTCAGAACCCTTTAGCATCTGCTTACGCAATTCAGTTACGTACACGCAATAGTAGATGATGGGATGGATTGAAGGTAAGTTCTCAAGGACTAATTTCCAACAGTTTTGAACCAAAGTCAGCAGAACTTTCTGTTGTCTGTTTTATGCCACATGATGATAGAATAGTGTAATATGTTCAGTGTAATAAGTCATAGTATGACACATTTTCTTGAGATATAGGAACCAACATAAAAATTTAGGGACAAGAAAAATTTTTTGTCTGTTGGGAATTTACATTACAATGACTAAGCACATTTATACCTTCCACAATTCGCAGGTGTGAATTGGCTGTGTGTGTGCACAAGAGAGATATCACAGTATATTTGTGCATGTTTATAATTTGTCATACATATCAAAAATAGAAGGTGTTGTGCTATTTATAATAATTCAATCAAAACTGTTTGTTGTGGTCATCTTGGTTGTCACAATCATTTATATGCTGATATAAAAGAACTACTAAGCTAGACCATATTTACTTCAACTTCCTTTTTTTGGCATTTTGTGGCTATAAACATGCCTTGTAGTTTTGCAGCTGAAGTACTGTTTGTAAGATTTGAGGTTTTCATAGCAGTGACTATGAAGAATGCTGTCTTCTGGTATGTGGCAGCCACCTGCTCGCGCTGGTTCCTTGCTCGTGTATTTTTCTACCATGAAGATGGAGGCAATACATTCCGCCGCAATGTCGGTTCACACAAGATCTACACGTCGCCATATACAGAAGGCTACATTCTTTAAAGTGCCGTTTGTTCTACATCCTTTGCAGGATCAGATTCCATCAGTGATGATCCATTCATGTTACAAATCATCAGGTCACATAAAGTTTCCTCTTGAAATGAGTATCTAAATTTACTTTTTATGAGATCCATTAAATGAAGTCCTTACTCACAGCACACAGTCAAGATAAGGAGTGCACACACTGTTGACAACAGCTGCCCTGAAATTTGAAATCATCATTATTGGACAGTGAAAATTCCAAAAGCTCACCCAGTTTCTTTCCCTCATTACAAACAGGTGGCATACAGTCATCATTCTTGTTTCATACAGAATGTTGTTTCAGTGCTAAGTCAGTGGTACCACCTTACTGACACATAACTGTCCAGAGTGCTTTCTCAGGGCAAGGCAAAATTATCAGAAATTACTGTGGCTCTTTCAGTGACTCCCTGGTTTAATCATCATTCTTCTAGGTGTGTCACTCTGTGTATATTCAAATTTTGCTTCTCTGATTTACTTAGTGTTATTTAATCCATGTAGTTACATATTTTGACAAACTCTATTAAGTGTTAACTCTAAGTTTTTGACAGATTTGATCAATCTTCCAGTCTCTGGTGGTTCTTGTCACTTGTCTGGTTCTTCATTGTTGATTGTTTCATGTAAAACTCCCAGCGTATGATGAAGCTAATTGCATTTCATCATGTTACTGTAAAATGGGGTGTAGAAATGTATAGTGTACCTGTAACATTTCATTTGTTCCTGACATTATGAACCATTTCCTTCATTAGAGCTAAAAGTGTACATCTGATGTACAGTCACATTAGGAAATAATGAGCCTGAAACTTATCCAAATATTGGTCATATTTGTATCATTTGTTGGTCTTCTGAGCCAAGAGTTTGGTCATGATGATGAAGAGTAGAAAAGTGGTAACTGGTGTAGAGTTTTTGTTCACGTTAGGGTGTGTCTTAATATCCTCTATTTACTGAACCCTCCAGTGAACAGATGGATACCACCAGAAATTCAAGAATTTTGGGTTTTGAACAAATGTTATTGTTTCTGCTTGTGCTTGCATTCTTGTTTTCACCTGCTCATACTTTTGTCAGCATCAGTCGTACTTTCACTGCCAGATGAGATTGCTTCGTCAAAGACTTTCCAAGATGAAATCCGGTTCACTGTCTTTTTTTGGTCTAAAATTTGCACCATTTTACATGGAGAAGTTATATTCTGTTGAGAGTAGAAATATAGGTCATCTGCTTTAGCCCAAAGTGTAAGAGAATTAGGCAGTGCAGTGCTGATCTACAACCCCCTCTCCACATTCACCAGTACCACAAACTTGAGAAGACACATTTCTCTCTGTTTTTTCCCACCAGATAATCTAGCAGATCACTGTCTGGTACTTCTGATTAGTGGTCTATGTCTCTTCACTCCATGCTCACATTATTTATTTACTTTCATCTTCATTGTGGTTCATTCGCAAGCCATTATCACAGATTTGACAATAAAGAAATATGTGGTAATGACATGTTGAGAAAATGGTCAAATGGAGTAGACGTGGCATACCCCTCATCTTTCATGGCAGTAATGACCCTGCAGGGTAAGAAAGTATAACAGAAGTCTCTTATATCTGTCAGATATCTTCATCCTCAGAAATTATCCTCCATCATAGGATGGTTACATGTGTATATGTTGACAGAAAAGTCTGTGTACATACTGCACAAGATGAAATGAATTCAGTATGTTAGAGGTTACATTTTGGGACACTTTAGATGTGATATTTTGTCAATATGGATTGACTGATAATTGTATTGAATTTGTGTGTGATTATATCATGAAATGGTCTGAAAATCTAACTCCAGAGTGCCTGGTTGATGACAAGAAGTCAAAAAGATTAATGGTTTGCTCACTAAGTTGGTGTTTTATGTTTAGGTGTGCAGGTAGATTGTTACTCCTGTTTCATCACAAGGAGAATATTATTCAGAGCCCCCCTATTGCACCTTTACAACGGAAGAAGATGAGGAATGATATACACAGAGAGGAGTCTCAGATTCGACTTCACTCTGCATCCTTCGCGCTGAAACGCTCTGGCAGAATAATCAGAAGTGTGAGTACAGGTAAGCATATAAGGAGTACTTCAATATTTGTCATTCCAAAATTGAATTAAATTAGATTTTATTGTATGCTCAGCTTCAGACTTGAGGCCAAACTTTAATTTTAATTATTTATACTAGAAACAAACTAAGATCGTGGATACTAAATTAGTATTTGAAGTGAAACATTGATTTTTACCTGAAAATTTTCTGTAAAATATTTTAGAAGTTTAATACTAAAGTTTCTGCTGAAATAGTACATAAAAGGGAACTCTAATGCAGGTAAATATTTATCAGGGCTCCATTCTTTATAAACAAGGTGTGTAAGATGATGGATATGAAATATAAAGCTTTTCCTTAATGCCAACAGTGTTTTCTAGTGGTGTACCCTGTGTTCTCACTAGAGTCAAGGTAGTATAACCATAACATCTTGTGAAGAACTGCCAATGCCAGAAGTTAGGTAAGTTATTTTATGTGATTCGAGATTTTCATGGTGAGTTGTCAGATTCAGGTCTTTCCATTGTACCACTGTGTTGTCTTGCAGGTAGATACTGGGGTTTCAGACTCACTTGATGCCTCCGTCTTGAGGTTCAAAGTGAGTAGGTTTAGCTGTGACCATGTTATACAGGAAGGATGATGAGGATCAACAAGGGTGCACACAGTTGCAGTGATCCACTGGAACCCTGGAAATAGAGCCCAGGGAAATGGGAATGATGAACAGGAAAGGAAGCGAGAATAATCCTTCCCAGGGTGACTGCAGTCTGCAAAAGCATGAAAGTAGCCCTTTACAGGGGCAGCAAGGGGGAATGTTGTGTCAAGAGGAGGCACCTATCTTATCCTTGGAGAGAATCTTCTCCCATTCCTGCAGGATGTGGAAGAGAGGCTTCCACTGTTTACTCAGGGAGAAATTGTCTCCACTACTGATTATAAGTTGTTGCGTCCCTTCTGATATAATCCACGCATTTGCTTTTGGAAGGGGGGGGCAAGGATACTGGTGTTACTAAGCAGGATATGATACCTGAAATGGATGTTTTTAGCCATGGCTGATATTTCCATATTATAAAGGCAGATATGTTGATGGTGTTCAATCTTAGCCCCTTGTGGTTTATTTTATTTTGCTGTCATTATCCCTGCCTACATCGTAGGATGGTTGATGAATAATGAATTTGAATGCATTTGGAAGGAAGCAGTCATGGCCTGATTGAGGCACTATCTTCGCATTTACCTGGACTGAGGAAAATCTTGCAAGATCTTAGTTGGGATAGCTGGTGTCACGGCTGAAATTTGAACCCTCACCTTCACAAACTAGTCTAGGGCATTACTGCTGCACCATCCTCCACAGTATCCTGGTTTTGATGGAATGTGCAGTTTTTTCAGTATATATCCTTTGACACTTGTTAGGGACACAATATGTCCCTCAAGGCAAGATCATTCTTGATGAAACAGAAGAAACTGGAACTGGAGACTTCTGTTATTGGGATGCCTACCATCTTAATGTGCTTTGATAGTGCCTTCCTTATGCCACTGACGTGGGGTCCAGTTTAGTTGGTCTCCTTTTTGCAATGGATCAAGAGCCCAATGTGACTGCCTCGTGCTGTAGCTGTCCTGTTATAAGATTCTCTAAAGTTGCTCCAGTTTGGCATGAAGATGGTCACAGACGGCCTTGACCATGTGTGCCAAGTGCAGTACCTGCTTGCCTGCTTGTTTTTTGGGTAGTGGTACGATCTGGCACTCCAATAGAGATTGGTATGGGTAACCTTGAAGCATATTATCACAGATGAATGATCCTGTGGGAACATCCCACACACTAACAAGCGGTTTTGCCGGTCTAACAGACAACACTCACTCCTAGTCAATATCACATTGCCGCACATTGCTGCCACCACTCGATGTCCAGCCCACCTGTAGATCATCACGTGCGCTAGCCAATCAGCGCTCACAATCACGACTGCAAGTTTAAGCTCTGCCCAGCAAGCATGGTATAAAAGCGGCGCCCCAAACTCGCAATCATCAGTGATCACATGCAGTTCAGAGCGATCAGTCATCAGAGTCATCAGCTGTTCACTGTGCCAAAGACAGCTGCCGCAACTCTCCAGCAACTGCGCTCTGCTACCAGGCAGATAACATAGCTGCCGCCGCTCTCCAGCAGCCGCGCTTTACTACTAGACAGCTAACGTAGTTTCAGCAACCTCACTCTGTGACCAGGCAGCTAACATAGTTGCCGCAACTCTCCAGCAACCGCGCCATAGGCAGCTGTTCCTACAGGCGCATGCAGCACCACATTACCTGTCGGACAAACTAGCTGAACGGCCATAAAGACTTGGTCTACTACAAAGGAGCAAATTCTGCCAGCGCACTCATGGTGGAACAAACTGCCCTTTTCAGGGCCAGCCAACTTTTGACATTCCACATAGCTTTGCAGCTATTTTGTACATTCAATTTATACAATTTAATATATACAATTATTACAGTCTTACGTGGTTGTCTTTTAGAACATCGACAATCCCACAATCCCATCTAGCACCAAGAACTTCTTGGTGAGACGTGTTGTTTCTCCTGTCACAGACTGATCCTTGGCCAAAATCCTCTAGGCTGGATCTTCTGCAAGTTTTCTGTCAAATCTCCCCAGAAATTCATCCATCCTCAGGTGGCACCTGTGGTGGAGTTTTGAGGCACTAAGTTAATTACAGTCCTGTCTTTACATACAGGAGAGAATGACATTGAGTCTTATGCAGACACTGGATCTTGCCATATTGCCTATCTTTAGTCAGAAGAGATGTGCGATGTCTCAAATGTGATACAGTCAATTAGGGTCTGGTCCATGAAAATATTGGGTGTTGTAGCATCCTCTCCAAGTGTGGCATGGTGTATGTTGGACATAGCATAAATGTCATCAAGACTAGAATCAAAGCACACCACTGGCATGTCTAACATTTTTTGTCCACTGAAATGGTCTGTGACTGAAGACGACATCAACTTGGATCATGGAAACCTGTTTATGACACTAGTATTCTGGCCAGGAAGTTTGGACTGACAGACCAGATGATAAAGGAAATTATAAAGGTCATTAATTTTAATTATTCATTGTTTTTATATATCTGTGATATTTATGTTCTCCACTATTATAAATAATAAAGCATTTGCTATATCATTTTTTGTGTTTTAAAATTTTATTCTTTTTAGCTTACACAGTTTGTGTTGGACATGGCCTGTTTATGGCCTACTTTCCTTATTTCGAAAAGATAAAAGTAAGCTTGTGTGATCTCCAGGCTGTCTCTGTGTCTCTGACTCGACTCCACCCACATTAACTTTTGAATGCCAGAACCAATCTATGAAACTCTTCCCCCCCCCCCCCCCATGTTGTGGAACAGATACTGTGATACTAGTGATGAAAAGTCAACTTGTGCAGTGTGAGACAGCATAGTAGCCATAAGAAAATCTACTGTACATTACCAGTCATGAATCAGAAAATTGTCTGGAATCACTGAATTTGGATGATGTTAAAAAGACTGTATAAAGTTCACTGGTTGGATTGCCTGTGTATAATGTATCTGTCACTTTGGATTGCTATGTGCAACAACCCTGTGAAAAACTGTGACCTCAATCTTGTCATTCTTTTTACTTACAGAGGATACTTGGGGATTTGCCATGCAAGCATTGTGACCAGCCAGTAACAAATATAATTCTTCTGTTTTAGCCCCTCCAGCAAGCTGTCGAAGTTGGCGACCTCTTCAACCTCCAAATAATAATGCTGAAGAAGATGACATTCCTAATGGAACCCTTTCTGGCAGGATACTAGCAGCTGAGGTAGCTAATCATGTCATATGTATTCTTGTATTGAATTTGAAACCTTTTTTAAACATGATAGTACTGAAGTTCTTATTACACAGACTGTGAATTGATTTCCTGGCTGTATGGTTAGTCACAAATTGCGTCCTGTGGGACACTGGGTAACCATGATGGATTCTCAGAGATTCAATGGATTTTACTAAAATCTCCAGGCTATAAGCAGTTTTCTGTTAACACTTGCAATTCGAGTGCCTCTGCTGCTCGCTTGTCAGGCCATATGGTTCACTAGCAGTTTTCATTGCTTCACAGTAAAGAATTGAATAAGAAATAATTTCAAAACAGCCACCATCTTAGTGACAGAGGAAATGACTGTGTGCCCAAAATGCATTCTGAAAGAGATATTTTGTTTTGTCAGCATATTACTATTCAGTCTTTGTCAAATGTATAGTCTGGACAAAGCACATTAAACACCCAGCGTTGGATATGGGAGGGAATGTGATGAAATCTAAAAGATCTTTCTTCCTTCAGGTTTTTTTGTGGTGGGGGATGTTTCAGGATGCTCATCATTGTCTTAGACTACAGCATTGAATGGTAGGATGGTTGGTGAAAAATTAATTACAAAGATTTTAAAAGAAGCAGTCATGACCTCGCTGAAGTACTGGCATTTTCCTGGAGGGACTGAAGGAAGCCATGATACATCTCAGGGTCGCCAATATCCTACCCAAAATTTGAACTAAGTACCTCCTGAATATGAGCCAAGAGGATTATCACTATCTTACATTGCTAATGAGTCATGACTGGACAGTCCCAGGTTCACACTCTGCTGACTGTTTTGATGAGGAGCATGTCAGGAGTTTCCTATAGATAGTAAAGCCACAGTGGATTATAAGAAATATGTCACAACATACCTGCTTCTGCCCTCTGTTCAGATGTCATCACCAAGGTTCACATTTCTCATATTAGTGATGTAGATGATTAGTTTGCAGCCGTTGTCTCTGCTCAGTGTAATGATGCAGTGGCAGTTTTATGTACGGATGTGCAGATCCAAATCGGCATCACCAAAGTGGTTGCTTCTCCTAAGTGCGTAACAAATAATCCAAGGAATAAGAAGGTAGAACTTGGTTATAACATCATCAAAGGGACCTAAAAATAGTGTCGTTATAAACGAATGTCGTTGTAACCGAAATTGGCACTTCCACAGTAGCCTTATGTTAGACACGTAAAAATCTACCAAAAACCAAGTTAAAATGTTGCATTTTTTAGTGAAATACGTAGTTAAGTACAGACTAACGTAACATTAACGTGGAATTAATATGGATTCTCCATATCGTTTGTACTGTAGAATTCACCAAACCAAATTTGCGGCATACGAGTACATCAGCTTTTTTTCCTTCCATTTTCTATTTCACAAATCACTTTAACTTTCTCTTCAGTGCTTAAAACTTTCCTTCTCATTGCCATGTTTTCGCTACTGCACTTCTCTGGGTTTAGGCAGGAACACTATAGGGTAAGTAGACAATGTGAGGTGCTGTTGGACGAGATTCTAGGAAAGGAATGCAGTTAACAACCTGCTGCGTCCTCTTGCACTATTCACGCAGTCCCACCCCACACCCTTGTTTTCGCATAAAACCCACGCTCCTCTTGCAGCCCGCGGTCGTATTCTTCCAGGACAGTCACGTCAGCAAGTAGAGAAAGTGAGGGTGGGCAGACACATCGAACTTTCCCACGATATCAGAGAAATTCAGGAGTGAAAATGACGTTACATACGAGGTTGATGCATTTGTGCATGTCGTACTAAGCAAGGTATAAGAACAGTTGCTTTATGAGGAATTAGTTCGTACCATTGAATATTTTACGCAGTAGACAAGGTGTCGCAGAAACCGATGTTGCTATAACCAAGTTTTACTGTATATGCCAGAATCCTGGCCTTAGCTGACATGCAGCAGGGGGCTGCATTGCCATATGGAAAAATTTTGTGATACTAGTAATGGCTGCTTTCAGCATTGGAAAATCATACCTTTTCAAATAACATTGTTACATAATATATAAGGTACTAAGGATGAGTAAAAAGGAGGTACTAGGCCCATCATAGCAACAGTGAAGTAAATTAAATTTAAATAAAATGTATTAAAATCAAGTAAATATCAAAGGTTCTGTCAGTTCTATTTTATAATGTACCACTACATGTTTCAGACACATGGACCATCGTCTGGTGGTCAATAAATAAAACAAATGAAATTGAGTGCTCCATTTTACAATGAAAAATGTAATACAGTTTTGGGTTAAGTGCTAAAATGTAAGTCATAATGGTTTAATTAAACTGTTATTTACTTTGTTGTGTGTGTAGTTCCACTATCTTGATTTTATAACGTGACAGGATTCAAAACATGAAAAAAGGATGAATAAGAACATGAGCCTGTGATGGGTGAAGAACATAACATGCTTCACTTTCTGAGCGCATTGACTGCCATGCAGCATTCTATGGTGAACTGAGAAACTCTACTAAGTTTCATTTCAAATTAGCGTCCATTGTTTATCTTCCATCAAAATTGCAACAATTTTACATTCTGCTCTTCAACACTTCATGTTTTGGCCTCAAATGGCTATTTTCAGGTGTTTTCATGTTACAGATATTTTACTAAAACTGTGTTAAAAACTGCTACACTGTTTTAATTCATGTTAAAATCACATGCTGTAGTCTTCTTAAGCAAAACGAGATAAAATCCTTTAAAATTTCTCTTACATATTATTTCACCTCACCTGGGGTGTCGTCATTTTCATAAATGAATCAAGGTGTTTTTCTTGGCAGCTTGCCCCTCGCGTTCGTGGTCTACTTTCAGTTTTTTTTCTTTCTTTCTTTCTTTCTTTTCTTTTTTCTTTTTTTCTTTTCTTTTTTTTGGTGGAATGAAGATTGGCAGGGGAAACCGAAGTACTCGGAGAAAACCCGCCCCAGCACCACTTTGTCCACCGCAGATCTCACTTGACCAGACCCGGGATCGAACCCAGGCCACCGCAGTGGGAAGCCAGCAACTAACCGCTTGAGATATGGCGCGGCCTAAGTCAATAGTTAGCCAACGCAGAGAGCAGAGCAGTTCTACAGTCTAGTGAAAGTTAACACAAAAGGAGCAACTGTGAAACAACTTGTTCGACATTTTGTGTTATAGTGATGTTGAATTGTATTTACGGTGTTGAGTAATAAAGTGACATTGCAAGCATACGCCTTGAGGTCTTGTTTCACGACACCTGGCTTCAGCATTGTCTGTGCTATGTGCCTGCTGTCTGCAGCAGACACAAATGCCACACCTAAGAGTATTTCATGTATGCAAACCAGTATATTCAGGTTGTGACATACAGAAAACCTCTGAAATGCCCTTTGTACTGGAAAGTGTGTCATTATTATCATCATCACTTCATGGATTAGGTGAATTGCCTGTTGTGGTCTCTAATATTGTTACATCTTCTCCCTACTCCTGTGTTTTCTTATGTCTCATTTGTGAGAGGGTGATATTTATAGACTTCAAAGGGGATGCAGGTCTGTTCCATCCTATGAAAGTGTATTTTCCATTTGTCTCCATATTCTTTAATTTTTTCGTATAAAGGGATGATATCTAAACAATTCCATATATCCTCATGAAAGTGTCTTGTATGACCTGTGATCTATTTATGATTTATTTTGAACACACAGCATGAAAAAGGTTACATAATCCAGTGTTATTTACTTTCTTGAGTTTCATTCTGTGTCTCTTTCTGTTGGTGTATAGTTAGATCAGTATTCTATTATAACCAAAAGGTTCTGTGATGAATATTTTGGGAACACTGGGCTAGAATATGGATTTAACGCCACTGGGTAGAGCCTTTATGTTATACTGATAGCTAGTTTAGAAATGGGTTCACAGGAACCTGTTACTGAACCGCTTCTTTCAGAAGAATCCAGTCCACATCTTCTCATCCCATTTTTTTTAAGTATCATATGGTGATAATTGCTTGGTTCTCAGGTTGTGGTAGCTACCTTTCCATTTCCTTGGTTTTACATTCTCAGTTCTAGCAGTTCTTATATACCATTGAGTTTGACTTTATTGTACCCCTTGTGACTAGTATCTGTGGGGCACTGAGTTCGAATCTTGAAAAGGGTTCTAGCTGTCTTGGCTGAGGTTCCTCTCTTTTGTTCCTGGTTAGTCTTATGATAATCTGCAACATATTCACATTTGGGCATGTATAGGGATTGCTACACTTTTTGAGATACACAGTTAACTTACATTTTAGCTACTTGAGGCAGGTTAGCAGTGCAGGGTCTGAATTGCATTTGCATGAACTCTCATGCCTTAATCATACTGATCCATTGCTTCCATGCCACCCACATTGTTCTGCAATGTTTGTACACTTACATTTTCAGAATGTTTTCTGCACTGAATCTGACAACTCATTCCATACCACAAAGTCACAGAGTTGAAACTTGATCTGTTTTGAAGAACTTAACTAATGCCCTCTTCTTTGTGTTTTAAAAATTCCAGTAATGAATGTTTGATTTAGTAGTATATCCCTCAGTGTTCCAAGTGGCAGGAAATTAACATTTTGCTAAGTATGGTGATCAGTACTTGAAATATCAGTTCTGCTTCAGCCCATCTAATTTTAGTAGCTCCACAAATTAGGGGAGAAAGATTGTTTATGACTTTAAATAGAACACATTAGGCAATTAGGAAATTATGACTATGCTCATATGTTTACAGTGTAATATAAAATAATCCACATGAGAGAGCCTTGCGTGTAGGCTGAGAAGCAACAGTGAAAGAATGCGTTAGAGCAGGTAAGGAACAGGAGGGTAAATGTTGAAGTTTGCTCATAACTTGATTTTAGTCTTGTGTTCCCATGCCATGCATGCAGCTTGGTCATCACTGCCAAACAAATTGTTTCTGCCAGTTTTCCGATTCTCACATTACAGTTAATAAGAAACTTGTGTCTTCAAATTAACCAGTTCTTAATGGGCCCATTTCCTCACTAACAGTGAAATTGCAGGTACTAATTAGGGCTTTAGTAATACAGATGAAACCGATAGCCACTTGCCACTGGTCTCTGTTAACTGTGACCTTTGGTAAATGGGTGAATGTATTCTTGTCCTAGTAGTGATCTTGAAAAAATGGTTAACAGGGTGATCCATCATGCCCATGTGCCCTTAAAGTTTAAACCAAATTGAAATCAATTTTGGCAGTTGCAGGTCAAATGTAGAATTGTTGGTCTTATGAATTCTACTAATCTGACTTTGAATGATGCTGATGTATAACTTAATATCATAACTGAAATCATCATTGAATTTGGAAAAACAGTTTCAGTTTTGGAATGGTTTGAAATAACTCAAACTGTCTTTTTCAGGTTCTCTATATTGTGAAACCTATTGCACATCTCTGCTCCATGATGCTTTTTGGGCAGAAGGATTGGAAACCATGGCTACTGGCTTTCTGTGTGGACCTCAGCAGGTAGGGCAATAGCAGTATACAGTTGATCCTTGTTGATCATTACTGTGGTCAGTAAAATTAAGAATATATGGGAAAAGATATGGTCCTGGGAAATTGTTGGAAGTAACTAGAATTAAGATGCAGTGAAATTCCGTTAATGTTTTGTTTGTTATATATATCAAGATAGACTGAGTGCTTATGTTTATGTAACATTTGAGGCATTCATGGCCTTGAAGATTCCTGTCATGATTTGTTAGTTGTGACACCATGTAGTATGATAGATGAGTACTGTTGATTTTTCCGTTGCGTGTTCTTTCATTCATTTCTTCCAAGCTTTGTTTCTGTAATTTGGAATATCCATATGTCATTTAAAATGAAATCTGGCTGCAGGAAAGTTCTTTTCACAAATGCGCTCACAGAGCATGTGTGTAATAGGGCACTCAGTCTGTTGATCTATCATCATCATCAACTACCTTGTGCTGAAACTGGAAGAATTTTCAAGTTATCCATGTACTTTTAACGAGCTGTACAAAATTAAAGGGAAACCATTCTGGGTAAATGTTCCAGCTCATGTCTATGTTATTACATTTTGATTTGAAACAAATTTTGGGTCATACACTTCTTTTGTAATAATCCTGAATATATATATATATTTTTTTCTTCTTCTTTATATGATACGCACTGGTAAAATATGCCATTTTGAAGAATCCATTGTACCTTGTATAATGATATCTTCAAAAATCGTAGCATGTTTTGAGCAAATGAGATAAGTGAAGTAGTATAACTTATTCTCTTTTGTTTTGTAGCTTGCAGCTGTACAAGATGCAACATAAAGAACGAGCTCTGAGCCGTCAGCAGCGCTTGGAATTGTCACGCCGCACTATCACTCTGTTGCTGTACCTCTTACGATCCCCGTTTTATGAGCAGCATAGTAGAAAACGCCTTGAGGCTATACTTTGTGGTCTGTCAGCCACTGTACCTTTGACCCGCATTTTGTGCAACCCCATAGCACAGTACATCCCTCAGTGGCAAGACACGTACTTCTATATGTGGTCAACTTGATTGCTGAAGAGCAGAGGTATTTCTTTTTAACACTTGAGGGGTGGCTGCATTTTTTTTTTTAATTAACCATTTCAGTTTTGTATTTTGACACCAATTGGCTACACTGTATCAAAGGAGAAAAAATTGACTACTTACTCTTGTTATTCACCATGGCTATCTAATATAATGAAAGACAATGATGCAAAGAGAAGCTCTTCCTGATTATGACAGTCCATTAACTCCTTGTTTTACAAACATCCAAGCAAAAAATATTTGTGTGTGTACCTTACTGTGTCATTAAAGTAAGTTGAGGCAAAGCTATGCATTTATTGTTGTAAATTATTTTAAAGAGCTCAAGACTCCACATGTGAATTTGTAATAATTTTGGTATATTGCACTGTTCATTATGAAGATAAGTAATAGGAATAAAAGAATTCCCATTAGTAGTATTTAAATCAGAAAAAATATAATAATTTGTTACCAAATTTTGCAGTCTCACCCATTGTGCAGGATAAGAATGTGGGAACAGTGATATTTAGAATATGAGTTCTTGTTGTAAGTACTTATAACCTTTATTTTATTGTTTTTGACTTCTAAAGGAACAACCCAGCCTTTGTAAGGAGTTCAGTGGGAATACTACAGGTCATATCTCTCATAGTTGGTATTAAAGGTCCACAATTGATTGAATTTGTTACTGCAGCCATTTGATTTTAGAAGTTATGCAGTCTTTATGAGAGGTTGATGTTTTTACTTATAACTTTATTCTAAATAGATATGCCACTGTCACCACTGACAGGGATTTCAGTTTGAATACATCATCACAGATGTAATGCACAGGTACCTTGTGCTTCCATTACTGGGGTCCAGTGTTAGAAATGAAACACAATGCAGGATGATGGCTTATAAAACAACTTCGAGTTTGAAGTCACTTAAGTATTTATAAGCTATAATTCTGTCTTATACACTGACAACAGGCATTTTGTAGCTGTGTGTGGACTTAACTTTTAGTGTATTCAGCTTCTAGGGATGGAATGAACTGAACAGCACTGTCTATTTGGTGTATGAAGTGTTGAATGCAAAATTGAGATATTGTACAGACTCAGAAATCAGTATTCAAAAAGACATCTGAATTGTTCAGAAACACCGTTGCACTAGTGATATTTGAGGGTCAGGGTGACAGTCCTCTTCAGTTTTGTGATACTTAAAATTAACTTCCCTCTTTGTTTAATCTGAAACTCCACCTTGAAAATATTACTCCTCTTCCCCTGGTGAGTAGGAATTGAGACAACAGATGTCAGCAACATTTCAGAAGTGTATGTCACAGTTTTTTAATCTTTTTATGCTGCAGTGGCTTTGTAGGCAAGCATTACGAATGTCTACTTCCATTTCTGGGTTAAAGTGAATGCTTTGGGCATTTAGTTCATGATGCCACAAAACCACAGGCTTCTGGTCCTATTGCTATACTGTAAACTCCAACTAATGCTGTTCCACTGTCTTTTAATCTGTGTACTGCACTGTTGAAGTACTGTACCCTCCAATCATGTAGAACAGTGAACTGTCTAGATCCATTTTCTAATGGGATCTGCTAGAAAGCACACGAGATATCAAAATTTGCCACATACAAATTATTCGCCCCCCCATCTTTGACATATAAGGCTCTTTTCCCTGTTCCCCTTCAGAATTAATTCTGAATTCATGAATCCTACAGATATTTGGTAGGACTCCTTGGGTGGGAGATCAGCTCACAGAAAGGCTGCTACCTACACAGGACAACACAAATGCAGACATATATGCCTTGAGTGGAATTCAAAGTGTAGTCAACCCGACCTTCAACTATTGCTTGTATTATTGGGAAATTTGTGAGTTAATTGGTTGGTGAGCCAAGTATGGTAGGCATTGGACTGTATTGGTTGCATGACGGGGAGACGATTCCACAGCCCAGAAGAGGTATGCAGCCACTGGTGTTGAAGAATAGTTCATTATTTCCTGATGATTTATTAAGCTGTTGAACTACAAATTTTTCACTAATACAAGATTTGATTTTGCCACTCAGTAAGGCATATTGTAACAATTTTTGTGTGTATGGATGGCCACATTGGTAAGTTTATTGATTTTTGATGAATATTACTTGTACTGTTTCAAGTTGTGAGGTAATTAAATCAGTGACTTCCAAAGCTTCTCAAATTTGTGTCTGTCCTGGCCAAAAACTGAGAAAGAAATACACGAATAGAAAAATATTAAAAGAAAATACTAATTCAGATTAGCTCAGTAAATCAAGTTAATGAAATCAACTTAATTTGGGTATGGGGCGGGCAGGTAAATAACCAAGAATTCCAATGTTTGAGCAGGCAAAGGTGTTTTGCGCCTTTGACCATGCAGCCACTGTGGTTATCTTATATGTGTAGTAACTCATTCAAAGGTTGAAACCACTTGCTGTTAGGAATTGTTACTGGATCAACTCTTCACACAATGACACACATTCTGGGGACTCTACTGGGACAATTTATTGCAAATGTGTTGAAGATGAAAGACAAAGTTCGTTCCAAAATATCATCCAGCGTGTACATAATTTAGTCTCATGTGGGACTTTATATTGTAAAATGGATTGATTTCCTGTCACATTACCACTCCAGGTCACACAGTCAAGCTGACACTGAAATGGTTATGTTTTTTAAGTGTTTGTACTGTGTTAGCATAGAGCACTACTCAGAAGTAATCCATTCCAACTATTTCATGTTGATACTGTTGTAAGAAGTTATACAGAATATTGTAGCTGCATTGTTTTTTAATTCTTTGGGAAGGTACACTAGCTGTGTTTTTGTGTGTGCTTTGTGTGAAGTCCGTTTTTGTGTATTTTGTTTTTTCTTTCACAAGCTCAGGGCTAAAGTGCTATGAATGGGCGATGTGTTGGCAAGTGTATTAACGTTTTATTTTGCACATTTATTTGTAACTTTGTTAAACATACTCTAGTGTGCAGAGCTCTTACTGGGTAATGACCTTTTGCTCTCATTTTTATGGTTTAAAAAACTGGTCCACTGTTTTGCAGAATTGCACACAAGAAATGGGAAAGGTGTATGGATAAGTGTTATAAAAAAAGCACAACATTTTTAGAAATCTTAAAACTGCTTCAAATTTCCATAGTTTTTCTTCTGCCACAATGATACATTAGAAACAAAACAGTTACATGTGTAATGTTTTTCTAAAGTTCTTTGACAGCCGTTTGGGAATGTGGTGGTGTAGTTGGTTGCACTATACTGCAATCTGAAAGGTCACAGGTTTGGTTCCCAATGAGGTCATTGGATTTTTCAATTGACCTAATCCTTCCAGCTGCACTATGACTCTGGACTTGACTCATCCTCTAACAGAAATGAGCACGAGGAATCTTCCTGGGGTTAAAGGGTGGCCAGCACCTGAGCCTGAGAACCTCACTGTCATCTGTGAGCCTGTTGTCTAGAAAATGTGGGAGCCTTGACATCTCACAATCCTATGGGCCTCCATGGCCTGTTATAGGGATAGCTTTATCTTTTTATATTTACCTAAGACAGCAAGACAGCTGTTGATTAATTATACCAGTATTATATTGGACATTATCCATTATGAGGTCTGTTTGATAAACTCGTCATTTCAAGAATTGGCTATATGTGAATTGATCATGAAAAGATACTTTGTTTCAGAGATCTTCACAAATAGGTATTTGGCAGTGTGAAGTCAGAGAGATAGAAGTATAAAGAAATTCATCTATTCTGGGAATCAAAATGTGTCCAAGATTTCCTTAGCTGTATGCACTGTTGCACCATCTTACTGAGATTGCATGCTGAGAGACCAGAACTGTCACCAACTTCGTGCTGTATGATTCATGGGTAATTGTTTTTAAAACTCAAGCTCATATCTTGTGAAACAGTTTCAGAACTTTGTCTTCCATTGCAGAATATTCTGCATGAACAGAAAATGTTCCCTGATAAAAGCTCTTTCAGGCACATCATTGTATTTATGTGGCCACATAACCCAACAGTCAGCATTACTAAGCTATCTCTAGCATGTAGTGTAATACTAGAAGTTTCACAAAAATGCACATATTTTTCTGCAATATACTGTTATACATATGATACTAATAGTATCACGTGCACAGCTTTGGGAACTTCTAATTTTAAAAATGATATGGTATGTTACATGACGTGTAGAATGTAGTCAGTATAACTGAAATATGAAACAAAAGTTAGTAATTTCTTTAAAATATTTATTTGAGGCACACAAATTTCATAAATTTCTGGGAAATATGGTGCTGACTATGGAATACCACTATTAAAAATCTCTTCTCCTTTTATGGAACTCTGCTGCATCTTTAACTGAGACACAGTGTTCTGCTTGTGATGTCAACACAGTTGCCTTCCCTTTGTTGTACAGTGTTATTTTACTTAATTTAGTTTATAGAAATAGTTTAGTGCAATAAATACTGCTTAGTTTGTATTTTCTTGCACATGTTGAATATGAAAGATGTCTCTTTTTGTCCCCAAGCCCATGTTTTTACACTTCCCAAATCCAGCATCATTTAATTCTTCCATTGTGCTTGCTATCTTCTTGAAGAGCACTGTCTTCTGTACTGTCTCATCTCTTCAGTCTTGTAGATGTTACAGAGGAATGTGCTTAAGCAAACAAGCAAGCAGCAAGCTACTTGGAAGCAGTACTTTCCTCCACTATTTCAATAAACTACCAGATTACAAGGCATCACATCCCAGGTGGTAGTAACCCCACTCTTCACATGTTCGGCATCATGAGAACTTCAGATTTCAGAGTAATCTCTTTTGCTTTTGTTTCTTTCACATATAACTCAACTAGTTCATGTATGAATCCTTAGACACCCATTACACTTTCTTCATTAAGGGTATCTGAATTTGCTGCTGATTTTCATACTAACCTCTCATTATTGTTGGCAAGTAAGTGGTGTATTGGTGCCACTCTAAGGCTTACAGTCAGCAAGTGTTCCTACCATTCAGACGTGAATAGGGTGACTGTGTGCTTGTGAGTGATTTGTTGTTTAACTCACTGTCCAGGCAAATGCTTTGAAGTAGGTCATGATCACATCTTGTCAGATCCTACCTGTTCAGTGTTCTGTGTTGCCCCACACATGGCTTAAATAACATCACCCTACTTTCCTACATCCCTTCTGTGCATGATATCTGTTACTTGCCTTTTTCCTATCCACATCTTTATCCTTGAAGCAGGTTTTTTAAGAAGTTAATACTTGTAAAAGGTTAATCAGCTCCGTCCAGTATGACTGATAAAATATTTTTTCTTTCTTTCCTTTATAATTGGGCACGCAG